ATTAAAAATTAATTTAGGGTATTACAACTCTCTCTCCCTAAAAGAAATTTGGTCCCTCAAACTTTTCTCTCTCACTCTCAATCAAACAGTTGGGGATATTTGGCTATGAAATCTAATTCTAGCTCCCATGTGGCCTCTCTCGGTGTGTGATTTTGCTATAGGACCTTAACAAAGAGAATTTTCCAGTTTCGGAGTAATATGCTCTTTCTGTCCACAATACCGACCGATACTTTTTTGTCGGACAAATCCTCCTGGAGTGAAAGAGGCTCGTGGACCAAGATGTGAGAGGGGTTCGGGTTGTACTTGCGTAGCATGGACACATAAAACACATTATAGACTATGGAAAGTTTTAGAGACAGTACCAGTCTGTAGGCGACGGTACTAATTCTGTCTAAAATTTCTAATGGTCTAATAAATCGGAGATTCAGTTTCTCCCTCTTGTCGAACCTAATAATTCCGTTGAAATGAGTGACCTTAAAGAATACCCGATCGGCTTTCTCAAATTCCAAATCTTCCCTCTGGGTGTCCGCATAACTCTTCTGCTTGCTCTGAGTCGTCTAAATATTTTTTCTGATCTTAACTATTTGGCTGTAGTCTCATTTACCAGATCTGGCCGAACAGTTTTCTATCACCAACTTCTTCCTACCTTATTTTCTGTATAGAATTGAAGTCTAATTAACAATAAATATGGTATTTTGTACAATTTAAAAAATGTTCATTATTAATTATGGATTTCTAATGGAGTCAGAACCAGGTCAGACCTCCTGTCCAGGGCATAACTTACAATCTCACACAGCAGGATGCAGAAGCCAACCTAGATGTGGTACAGGGTATGTACACTATCTGTAACCATCTTGCTTATGTTTTGATTTATACTGGTGCATTGCATTCATATGTTTCACATGTTTTTGCATCAAAATTAAATGTACTACTTGAAAAACTTAATTCTGTGTTGTTTGTGTCTACTCTTGGGAGTATGACATTACTGAGAAAGGTTGTATACAGATCTTGTGTCATAGATATAGTAAATAAGAAATTGAGTGTAGACCTAATAAAAATTGACACGGAAAACTTTGATGTAATCTTATAAATGAATTGGTTAGTGGGCTATCATGCCACTGTAGATTATTTTAGTAAGAAGGTTATATTCAACTTTATTAATGAGGAATCATTTATAAATTAATAAAATCTTTTAACATTTGTTCCCTCTTGGCAAATTTTCTTATTATTAAGTACTTTAACCCAACTGTTTTCTCTAACTAGGCAAACCCAAGAAAGAAATTTATATTCAAGAGATTCCAGTAGTTCGAGACTTTTCAGATATGTTTCCGGATAAACTACCTGAATTGCTAGTGGACAGAGAAGTCGAATTCACCATAAACCTTCAACCAGGCACCCAGCTTATTTTGGTTGCTCCTTACCGCATGAGCCATGTTGAGATTGAAAAACTGAGGAAACAGATCACTGAATTACAGGACAGTGGATTCATCCGATATAGTGTGTCCTCCTGGGGTGCTAGAATCACATTTGTAAGAAAGGGAGATGGGACGTTGAGATTATGTATTGATTACAAAGGTCCAAACAGGGTCACAATCAAGAACAAGTATCCCCTACCTAGGATTGATGACCTATTTGATCAGTTGCAGGGTGCCTAGGTCTTCTCCAAAATAGACTTGCGTTTAGGTTACCATCAGGTAAAAATCGAAGCCAAAGACATCCCCAAAATAGCATTTCGAACCAGATATAGATATTATGAGTTCCTAATCATGCCATTTGAACTAACCAATGCTCTAACCATCTTCATGGACTTGATGAACAGGGTTTTCAGACAATTTCTGAATCAGTTTGTTATTGTATTTATTGATGACATCTTAATTTATTCAAAAAGCATAAATGAACACGCTCACCATCTAACTCAAGTTTTGCAAGTTTTTAGAGAAAAGAAACTGTATGCAAAGTTGAGTAAGTGTGGGTTCTACCTTGAGCAGACTACCTTACTCGGACACATCATGTCAAAGAATGGAGTGTCAGTGAACCCCGAAAAAGTTGAAGTAGTGCTCGGCTGGAAAAAATTGACATCAGTTAAGGAGATCAGTAGCTTTCTGGAGATGACAGGTTATTACCGCAGGTTTGTGGAAGAGTTTTCTAGTCTAGCTACTTCTCTGACTCGGCTTACAAAGAAGAATGTCAAGTTTGAGTGGAACGAGAACTGTGAAAGAAATTTTTCAGAACTAAAAAAGCGGCTGACTACTGCACTTATGTTGGCTTTGCTGAGTGGGTCGGGTGGATATACAGTTTATAGTGATGCCTCCTATCTAGGGTTGGGTTGTGTTTTGATGGAACATGAGAAGGTCATAGCCTATGGGTCCAGACAGTTGAATAGTCAAAAGAAAAACTATCTCACCCATCTTTTAGAGCTTGCTGCAATCATCTACGTCTTGAAAACTTGGTGTCATTATTTGTATGGGGAGACTTTTTAGATCTATACTAATCATAAGAGTTTGAAATACATATTCACTCAGAAGGATCTCAACATGCATCAGAGAAGGTGAATAGAACTCCTCAAGGACTATGATTGCAATATCTTATATCATCCAAGTAAGGGCAATGTGGTAGCTGACACACTCAGCAAGAAAAGTGCATGTACATTAGCTCATTTGATGGTTTCAGAATGCAGGCAGATAGTGGCTGCACAACAAGTACGGCTTCAGAACCTAAAGAGAGTCACATGTTTAGGTAACC